GACGGGCACGGGCGGGCGGCTGGGGGCGGAGGCAGGACCTCCTGAACCTTCCCTCCTCGCCTCACTCTGACAGCGCCGAGGTGCGCCGAGCAGGAGCGGGGAACAAAGGAGCGGGGTGGGGAGGGGAGCGAGTTGGACGAGGGAGAGCCCCCGGCCGGCTGCCAGAAGATCCCGGCAGGAGGAAGCCCAAGTGACACTTGAGTTCTACCCGCGGAGCGGGCGCCTGGGATCCGAGCGCCTTGTTCAGCGATAACGGCTGGAGCACGTCTAAAAGTTGCGGGAGGGTCGGCCGTGAAGGAGGACGATCACTTGCCCCCTGTGTCCCCTCTCCTGGCTCCTCGAGACCCCAGCCTTGCCCGGCGCTGGGAGGGGAGCTCCAGAATGAAAAGCAAGAAAGGTAAGGCGGCCGCACCGGGGCGCGAGTCCCGGGGAAACGTGCTGGCCGGGCCGCGCCGGGCTCGGGGCGAGGGGGACTTGGTGGACTTTTCCGCCCAGGGGCTCTCAGGCTGGAGCGGCGGCCGTCCTCTTTGTTGGGGCCGCGTCTGACATGGCAGTTGCTGTTTCCCTTCCAGACACAACACGAGGGCTGTTGTGGGGAGACGAGCCTCTCCACGCTGCTGGCACGTTGTCAAGAAACATGCTCAGCGCCTTGTTTGTGCGCCTCCAAGTTTCATTGTCTCCGCCGACACCCCACGCTCGGCCCGCAGCCGCGTGGCTTCTGGAGCTTTCTCGAGGGCGGGGAGCGAGGGGTCCGGGGCAGGGGGACCCGGCGCCTCGACTTTCCCGGTCGGGACCCGGGCCGAGCCACCACGCCTTTGTCTGAAAGTTCGGACCCGGGGCCCCCAGTTCGAGCTGGGCCTGGGCACACTTCTTTAGGGATGTGGTGTTTTCACCGTCGAAGGAATGGGATTCTGGGCCCCCACATGGCCCTCAGGGGTAAACAGCCTCAGAAAGCTAGACTTTTCCAAATTCCCAGTCTCTCAAAGTTTTCCCACGGCGAATTTGGGGCGATCTGAAGAGTTAAGACACAGGGCCAGCGGCTTAAAGAGGCGTGCAGTCAGAATGTGTCCAAGTGTGACAAGCAGGCTTGGTTGTAAGTGCAAAGGGCCAGGCTGTCATTGTTTCCACGAAGCGTTCTGGAAGCTTTTCAACTAAAACTTGCCGTCAGTCTGGTTTGAAAACAAAATACTTAGGGATTTAAAACAACAACCCCCCCCCCCAGCACCCCGAAAGGCCAAAGAATGTGAAGTCCCTTTTGAAGTTAACTTTTGAGTCCCTGACTGGGAGGTCCCCGAGTGTCGGGCCGTGGACTGGAGTTAGCTTTCTGTTGTGATTTATGCCGAGTGGCTCAAAACAGAAGTTAATCGCTCGGGGAAGCGAGCGGAGGCGGGCGGGGGCGCTGCGGCGCACGCGCAGTGGCGTCCTGGAGTGTTCAACTCCACATTCTTCCAGAGCCGCAGGGCGCAGGCGGCTCCAACGGAATCCCGTGGGGTGGGCGCCCGCCCGCCCCGGCCCCTTCCGCGGCGCTTCTGCGTCTCCGGGGATTCTGTGGGAGACTCCCGCCCGCGGAGCTTCTTTCCCCCCCCCAAGTCTTTCCCGGCGAGGGTGAAATGAAACGAGAAAAGCCGGGCCACTCGGCAGGAGTGGGTAGTAGAGCTCCCCGCGGACCCCTCCGCAAGGGACAGAGGGAGAACTTGGGCGTCTCGAGCTTGGGACCTTTCCCTTGGCTCTGAGAAAACGCGCGGGGAGCGTCCGGAGCGCCTGTGGAAAGCCGCGTCAACGCCTGGAAAGACTGACAGGTCGAGAGCCCCACGGGGAGGCGTCCTCCTCTTTGGGGCTCACGGGCGGAGCGGGGGCTTCTGGATTTGAAGAGGGCGTCTGCGGCGCAGGCCGGCTCCCGCCGGGGTTCCGGCTCTGGCGGGGCGGCCCGGATTAGCCTCCCCCGCCCCAGGCGCCCCGCCGGACCCCCATCCCCCTCTCGCCCTCCCCTCCTGCAGAGGACGAGGCCGCCCGCCCGGTGGGTGCGAACAGCCCGGGGTCCCCAGCCCTGGGCGCTCAGGGTCCTGGCAATTCGTGGAGACAATGAGAGGTGACGTGTTGGAGGGGAACTTTGCGACTAGCAGCTCAGGGCTCGTGTGGGGAGCTGAGACGGCCGAGGCGATCGGCTTCTTTCCCTTTTTAGGTTTCCCGACGAGCCGTCTGGGGTGGGCAGGCCGCGTAGAACGTGGGCCTCAGGTCTGGCTTCCTCCTGCGGGCCGAGGCTCCGGGGGTCCTCGGTGTGCTCCCTCCGACAGTTCGCGGGCCGGTTTCAGCTGCGGCCGGGGAACTCCCGGGAACAAAAACTCCCTGCTTGCCTCCCCCGGGCTCCTCCTCCTCCCCGCGTCCCACCGTCCTGCCTCCCACCCCCGCCCCCGCCTAAAACTACCTGGCAGGCGGGGAGAGAAGGGCTCCTGGAGAAATCGGTCCCGCCTGTGGTCTGTCCTGTAAGAGTATGTGAAAACCTTTTCAAGTTTCCTGAAAGTAAAGGCACTTTTAACTCAAAACTTTTTACAGAGCCCGGCGTTGGGTAAGACCGATTTGGGAAAATAGTGCGTCCTCTTAGAAAGCTCAGGATGCCCGAAAGATCTCTTAAAATGGCTTGAAAACAAACAGAAAGAAGGTTCGATGAGGAAAGTCCCGTAAGTCTTTTTGCTCCCGATTTCTGACTCGGACTCTTGCTTTAGGATTGCTCTTTGGCCGAGGCCAGCCACACGCAAGTTGGATTTAGTGACTGACTTGAGTGTTAAGTTTGATTCCTGTTGCTTCTCCAGGGCAGACACTGTGATCAAGAACCTTGTTAGGCTGGATTTGCTTTTTCCTAATTGTATACTTAAACTTTTCCTTCGAGTTTTTATTTCTACGTTCTTTTCTAGTCTCCTAGATTTTTAAAAATCCAACTTCACAACCGCTCTGCCCCCAACCTCCCAATCTTGTTAGCTGTTCAGAAAGGAAAGTGCAGAAGCAAGATTGGTTCTTAGAGCTTTGGGATCTATAGGCCATCTTGTGGCTTTCTAAACATTTCCTTGTATGTGGATAGTTGAGTGAAAGAGGCTTGCGATCCCCCCCACCACTACGTTTTTTAACGTGTAAGCAAATCAAGACGTTTGGAAACAAGTAACCGGGAAACTTTTCAAAAGTTCTGTTACAATAGGAAATGAGTAATGAGGAAAAGTCTTTTTGTTTTTTCAAATTGAGCCACAATCAGGAGGGAGAGTTAATGAAAACCGTCCTGACAGCAGCAAACGTGGTTTTGCTGCAGTGAAATATCAGCTGGCGTAGCCAAGGAACTGAATCTTAACTTCCTGTTACTTCAGCTTTTGTGCACATATTGGAAGTATTTGATAAGAGGTCCAGAGGCCTGGCATTCATTTATTTAAATGAACTGAGAACAGAGTAAAGTCGCGCAGCAGTTGGGTGTTGCTTAACTGAAACCTGCCTTTGTGTGTCACTAACTTATTCTGAAAGATCAAGCTTCTTGTCAAACTAAGCAAGCAGATCAAAGGGCAGCCTTCAGGGATTTTTTTGTTTGTTTGTTTCAAACTCTGTTATTACCAACTTACAGTTGGGAATTCACTGTTCAGTGAGCAAATTTTCACACTTTTTCTAGGTTAAAAAAAGGGTGAGGGATAATAGCCTTGAGAAGAACGTCTGGCTGTTCAGAGTTGGAGAGCTTAAACAAATTGCTTTATTCAGATTAGTTTTAGTCATTCAGTTAACTTGACACATTTTTAAAAGTTAGATTTCTTTAATTATCAAAGCAAATGTGAAGCAGGAACCCATTTGTAATTTAGGGTTTTTTATTAATAGTTCTTCACCGGAATTTCAGTATGGGTTTTGAAAGTCTCTCATCTTCTCAACAGTGAAAGCAGTTTCAGTTTTAAATGTGACCTTCTTTAAAAACTTTTTTTGTTAACAGTTTAATTAAATCTTCAGGGAAGGGAAACTTCAAATGCATGGCAGTTAAAACTTCGGATTCTTCTGTGGTTTATTTATGGCCGTTTGTTGAGCCTTCAGCTTAAAGTGAATTTGCAGGATCATCCACCTCTTTTGTTAGAACTTGGCTTTACTTGTCTTCGGAGGGTTCTTCCTTTTCTGTAGGAACTCCCTCCTGCACCTTCTGCCCCCTGCAGTCCAAAACTAAAAATGTGTCAACAAGTAAAGTCAGAGTCAATTAAAGGGTGGGTTTGTTTTTTTTTTTTTTTCTAATTCCTTAAAAACACATTGAATGGTTTATCGCTATGAGGAATATTCTCTTTTTATTTCCTTTGAAGATAAACTGGCTCATTTAAGGTTGAGTCTTTTTTCAACCAAAATTACATACTACAGAGAAAAAAATGTGTACAAAGCTAAAAATGCATACTTTAAAATTTTTTAAATTTGTGTTATTTTAACTAATTTTCCTAATATAGAAATACTAGTATTTTCAAGCATGCTACAGTTCGCAATTCATCTATATTTTAAAATTTTAAATTGTCTTCAAAAAAGAGAATGTATTTGTTTAGTCATTCTGAGTTGCCTATCATAGTTTTGAAAGGCAGGGCTTATAGCATTTGTTATTTAAATTTTTTTTAAGTTCAAAATGTTGTTTACATGTCTGAAAAGGACGGGTCTGAATTTTTATTGAACCTAGTCTATCTGTGATTTAAATGTTTTCTGTGGTCGTGCAAAATTTCTGGTAGGATTAAAGTATTTACAGCCGAAAAAGTTTCCTTTGGGGGTTGCATATTCAGTTTTCTTTGTCATGTAATAATTTAAGACTGAATTCTGCTTGTTGATATGTAGTATTCTAGGTTTAGATTGAATGGGCAGCAGAATTTATGACAAATTTTTAATTTATTGAGTATTAGGCGTCTTTTGACCTCTTACCAAAGTACCAACAGTAGAAAAACATCTTTGTGTGCTGAAACGAAAAATTTGTGTGGTTGTATTTAATGAAAAGTAACTAGTGTACTGTCCATTAGAAGCAAGTGTCTAATTTGAATAAATGTAGGTAGCAATGAATAAGAAATGACCATGGAATTAGCAGAAAATTTTAATATGTATTTTACCTTTAGAATACTAACTGGGTTAAGTTTGTAATTTTCCCTCCTTATATTAGTGGAAAAGGTGTACGAACCCTCTCTTTTATTTCAAACCTTCAGTGGAGGAAGGAGGAAGAATAACATTAAAAATGTACATTAAGGTTCTAGTTAGACTATTTTTGCTACTTAGCAATGATTGACCTTAAAAAGAACGTTGTTAGACACATTCCAACTGCTACAGCCCCCCTTCCTGTTTCAAATGTGGCAAGTTATTTACTTTGGGTGCAGTTTGGCTTCTCTGATGGATTACGCCAAAGACTTCCGAGCATCAATTAAAATTAGGAATGTGAGAAGTTAAATCCTAGAGGAAAGTTGGCTAAGAAGGGGAATCTGACAGTTGGTTGAGGGTCTACCGTGTGTTGCTAGTCAAATTATTCTTGAGGACTTTACATGTACTCTGGTAGTTCGGCAGAGAAAATACTGATGCTTCGCCTCAGCCTCAGTAGTTAAGAAAAGATGGTTACAGTGAGTGGTCAGAATAAATGAGCTTTGCAGGAGGTAGCTCTGCTGATAGAAGTTATTGACAGCTGGCCTTTGTCCTTTCCTAGGTGTTGTTGCAGGGTCTGGCAGCGAGACTGAGGATGAGGACAGCATGGACATTCCCCTGGACCTTTCCTCTTCAGCTGGCTCAGGCAAGAGGAGGAGAAGGGGCAACTTGCCCAAGGAGTCTGTTCAGATTCTCCGGGACTGGCTGTATGAGCACCGATACAATGCCTATCCCTCAGAGCAGGAAAAAGCATTACTGTCCCAACAAACACACTTGTCTACACTACAGGTAAGGAAAGCACAGAGTTTATGCATGCATTTTTATTTTGAAAGCCATTTTATAGCATTCCTGTGTGTCAAGTCATTAAGTTTTCCCCACTCAAAAAAAGAAGGAATATCTTTTTATTGTAAACTTTTTAGTGCTAAAAGCTAATAACTGGCTATTTAGAGAACACAGAAACACTTGACAGTCATCTGTCAAATAGCATTTCCTTTAATGCCTGAAAGAGCCTTCCTTTATGCAACAAACATAAAAAGGAGGTTAAACCTTATTCTATTGCCCAGGAAACTGGCTTGATATTTAAACAAGGACAGACTTCAGTGAGGTAATTCATGTTATGTCTGTTGACATAGTCATTTGAACTGGGAAAAATCAGTTACTGGGAGGAGTGGCTCTTTTCATACAGGAAAGGTTTTCCTGTAGTTGATTAACTTAAATGCTGGGATAGTAGGTAATAGGTTAAAAAATGGGGAGAGTTAAAAGGTAAACCTGGCAGCAGAGCAGAGAAAAAAAAAGGTAAACCTCCCTCCCTAAAATCATTTAGAGGCATTTGAGAATTTATACTATTTTCTTCCTACTGAAATGATTTAAGGATGATGAAACAAAAAAGTAAATTTGTATTAGAAGAGGAAGAGGTTTATGACAGGAGGCAGCTTTCTCTTGGCTGGGCTCAAATACCTTGAAATAACTTTATGAGTCCAGATAAGCCTTTTCATGCCTTTTTTCATAATTAGGCACCCCATAGACTGTTCTCAGAGCCTGTTTGCTGAATGCGTGAGGAAAGTGTTAAAACATACCAATATGATTTCAGGTCTGTAACTGGTTCATCAACGCCCGCCGCAGGCTCCTCCCTGACATGCTGAGAAAGGATGGCAAAGATCCAAATCAGTTCACAATTTCCCGCCGTGGGGCCAAGATTTCCGAAGCTAGCTCTGTGGAGTCAGTAATGGGCATCAAAAACTTCATGCCAGCTCTCGAGGAGACCCCATTTCATTCCTGTACAGTTGGACCAAACCCAGCCCTAGGGAGGCCACTGTCTCCTAAGCCATCATCCCCAGGATCAATTTTGGCTCGTCCATCAGTGATCTGCCATACCACTGTGACTGCCTTGAAAGATGTGCCTTTCTCTCTCTGCCAGTCGGTTGGTGTGGGACAAAACACAGATATACAGCAGATAGCGGCCAGCAACTTTACAGACACCTCTCTCATGTACCCAGAGGACACATGTAAATCTGGACCAAGTACAAATACACAGAGTGGTCTTTTCAACACTCCTCCCCCTACTCCACCGGACCTCAACCAGGATTTTAGTGGATTTCAGCTTCTAGTGGATGTTGCACTCAAACGGGCTGCAGAGATGGAGCTTCAGGCAAAACTTACAGCATAACCCTTTTTCATGCAAAACAGTTCTCAAAAATGTCATGATTGCCGGGGTGATGGCAAGAGATGAATTACATTATTTTATATATTTTTTATTAAAATTTGCACATGGGATTGCTAAAATGAAGCTTCCTGTTACTGAAATGTCTTCAATGGAATACAGTCATTCCAAGAACTATATAAACTCAAAGCTACTGTAGAAACAAAGGGTTTTTTTTTTTAAATGTTTCTTGGTAGGTTATTCATAATGTGAGATGGTTCCCAATGTCATGTGATTTTTTTTTTTTTTTGTCTCCCCTTCCCCTTTTTTGTTGGTGTTTTTCAGACTGTGCAATATTTAGAGAACCTATAGCATCTTCTCATTCCCATGTGGAACAGGATGCCCACATACTGTCTAATAAATTTTCAATTTTTTTTCAAGCAAGTATGAATCTAGTTGATTGATACCTTTTTTCATGATGTAATAAAGTATTTTCTTTAAAAATTATTGTAATGCAGAGTATTTTGTTGGGAGGCGCTTCTTAAATGAGTAGGAATATAGCACCCCAATGAGCAGGAAGTTGGGGGTAGGGTGGAGTGAGTTAGGGGGGTGTCACCAGCTCTTTGAAGAAAAGTACCGTGGACAGCCAGTATGTATAAACAGGATGTGTGATATTTACTCTTGATAGGAGGCACAGCAGGCCCTTAAATCTTTACTTAAAACTGCATGGCAAATCAAAATGAATCATTTCATCAGTTTTTAGTTAACCACTAAATCCCTTGGTGATTGGTCCTGCAAAACATGGCCAGTGTTGAAAAGTCTTGAAGCACCTGGATATGGTGTAAATTTTCAGAAGTAAACAACAATGCAAGCAATCTTAGCATTTTCCCTCTTCGACATTACCCTTTTAAATAACCTTTTTTTCAGTGGTGCAGTTAGGTAAGGCATTTGTATTCAAACACAGCATTAGTCTGTAGAGAAGTGCCTTCTTAAAACATTTGCTAAAATGTTGAAATAAGCCATGGGGTTCTGTCTATGGTGGAATTGTGAGTTTATTAGATAAACATTTTCCACGGTCACAGTTTGTGGGAAAAAATGGTGCCCTGTACAAGTGGAGTTTGTTGGACAGACAATAACTTACAAAGCCCAGATGGCCAGAAGGGAATTGGTGATGTTCCTTTCACTTACATGGTTGAGCAGATTTGTCACATGCCACAAAACCATTCTTTGTAGTCATGCTTAGTATGAGGTTTCTTTGTTGTTACAGTCATGTTCTTTCTAGCCCTGCCTCAGCTATGAATTGTCTAAGTTTGAGGAAGCATCACAGCTTCAGTGTCGTTTAAAGAATGTAGAAAAATTCTCCCCAAAATTGGTTTGTCTCATTTTGAAAAACTTTTTTTAGAAAGTCTCTACTGTAGAAAGAACTAAACTCAGACTTTTTGTAAGTGAAAGGGAAAAACACAATGACAACCAAGAGGTGTAAGAAAACTAAATGAGCGGAAGGTGTGGCACTCTAACTTGTGGGGCACAGCTTTGAAGGGCACATCAGCCTGCAGTTGGCTAGCCTCACCTCAGGTCCACAGAAATAGATAAAAGCCAAAAAGAAATACCAATAAAGTAAACAGAAGGAACAAATTTAACAATAAAAATGCAGTAAAGGTGATTGAGAATAACTGTTCCAATAGCTGGATCAAAGGCCAAAAATTTTGCTTTAATACAGATTAAGAGAGACCAGCAAATCTTGAAAGGCTTGCCCATCACCCTAAATTGCCAATGTTTTATTTAATTTTTTCCCTCTTGAGGTTGTTATAAATCCTAGTTGATAATAGCTGATATATAATAAATGTAAACCATTATTTTAAAACAGGTAAATGTAATTGAAAAAGTGTAAAAAGCTATTCATATCAAAGCCAAATAGAAATGATTTTTTTTTTTTCCTTTTTTTGTCTTTTTTCGTGACCGGCAACGGATCGCAACCCTCAGTGTTGCGCCCGTACCGGACCGGGACCGGCAACGGGATCACAACCCTCGGTGTTGCACCCGCACCTCACTCAGCCAGTGAGCGGCCGGTCTGTACGTGGGATCCGAACCCTCGGGGGGAGCGCTGCCACGCTTCCCAAGCGGCGCACTGTAGCAGTGCGCCCCTGGGCCGGCCCCAGAAATGATTTTTATGCTTACTATTTATATGCTTTATCTTTTCATTTGTTTACTTTTAACCTATTTGTGTTTTCATGTTTAAAGTTCATCTCATATAGCATACAGTTGGGTCTTGCTTTTTTATCTAGCTAATGATCTCCCTTTTACTTAGTGTCTTTAGTCAATTTACATTTAATGCAATTATTGATATGTTTGGACTCGGTTTTCTCTTTGGTGTTTTCCTCTCTGTTCCTCTTTTCCTGCCTCCTTTCAGGTTAGTTGAGTATTTTTTAGTATTTAAAAAAATTTTTCTATGGGTTTATAAACTATACCCTCTTTAGATTATTTTTTAATGGTTGTAACATACATCTTTAACTTATTATGGTCTACTTAGGGTTAATATACAACTTCACATAAAATACAGAACATTGGGGACAGTGTAGTTCCATTCACTCTCTCCTCTCTTCCTTTGTTTTTCATGTATATCCAT